CGAGTAAAATCTGAGAATTTATTAGCCAGTGGCTAATATTAGACATCATTTAGTTGCCCAGAGTAAGATTTAGTCGCATATGCGAGTGATTTACTCGCAATGTAGAGGGTTGTTAATTCAGCGCTTGCAGCAGAGCAAAAATAAAGATCTCTGCACTGCTGCAGACGCACTGCTCCTGGATCGCACTGCCGGACCGTAACCGTGTGAAGTGTGAACGCTTTAATCCGTTAACATGAGCGCGGAAAAAATTGACACTGCCTCGATTGTGCAAGTGACAATTCCTGTGTCAACTTTGCAGCGTGTAGCTCGCTTATGGACAGACGCGATGTGTGGTGATTTGAAGCCATTTGCGCATTTTGAGAGAGAGAGAAAGAAAGAGAGCGCGCGGTGATTCACTCACGCTGTTTGTGAAATTACGTCTCACTCAAGGTTTTCAAATGACTTTATAAGTTATTTAATGAAGAAATATGAAGGTGAGTACCTCACCTTTAGCATTATAATTATTTCACCCGCCAGACTGAGACGTGCCGCTGCATGTCATGCCAAAACTCTCACGGCAGGCGCGTGCCATCAGCTTGAGATCGTTTTTTTGAGATCGGCCTTTTTAGAGACCGCCGATCAATCATCCCAAAGCGATTATCGGCCGATAGTGATCGGTAGCCGATCAATCGGAGCACCCCTACTTTTGTGCAATAATGTGGTTCTCAAAGAAATTGAGATTGTTACAGTAATTTTTACTGTGGTAAAGTGGCAACAACAAAAACATGGTGTTAAATAAATTATTAATTTGATTAGTAAACATAATAAATAATTATTCTGTAGCTCATCCAATCAAATTTCAGAGTCAGAACAAGCCTATTCGTTTAATAATGATACGTATAATGTGATCTCTTTATCTGCTAATACTTCTGGACGTCCTTTGATTGCAGAAGCATGATTTCTATTAATTATAAGAACTAAGCAGCATGCTGTCTATCCAAAACTTCCTAACTCATCGTTAGTCTCGTGTATTGTTGTTGAACGGGGGACTTCTAATGGACCTATTGTTTTCAACAGGATGGGGAATTCCTGGTGCGGACGCACCATGTGGAGTATGTTGACGGGGGGATCCTGGACCCAGATGACATGCTGACAGACCTGGTGGAGGACAAAGACAAGGTAAGTCTACCGTGGTACTTATTCACAAACACTACAGCTGGGCAGAGAGGTTTTTTTCTATTTTATGAATACTGTTATCTAGCATGTTTGGCTCTAAAATGTACGGTATGTTTGAATGCAGTTACGTTTCCTGCAAGTGACAAATCACTTTGTCTATAGCAGTGGCCATCTCCGAGTTCAGGTTGTTTAGTTCATTATTAATTTAGTTTTCATTTGAATATGATGTGTTAAGTCTGTAATTAACTAAATCTACTGTAATATATTTGGAGTCTGCCAAGTTTTGTTGAGCTGTCTGGACATCTAGAAGCAGTGGGAACTAGCAAAACAAGTTACTTCAGTGTGCTAAAAAGACGTTTAGCTGGGACTTGTTTAGCCTGCCCTCCCTGCCTTGAGCGGATTGGCGTACACACCAATGAAATCATCACTATTTCAGGAGCTTTGGATCCAGTTTGGAACCAGTTTGACACATTTACTTTTTTTTTTTCACTTCTTGTGTAACAAGCTGTGAAACAATATAAACCAATAGCCCTGACTGAATAACTACATCTGCCCTACTTAATATGAATCATTTTACCTAATATTAATATTCATGCCATTTGTGTCATAAATGGACATTTTGCATAGCATAATCTTATAATTTTTTTTTTAATTTAAATGATAAGCATAATAATAAGTCTAGTCGAATAAATGGAACAGATTATAAATTCTTACTCAGCAGGGGTTGAATAATTGCTAATAAAATATTCATATGATATTCAAAGCTATTAATGATTAAGTTGCTTCGTTCATTTGAATTTTCACATTTTTGAGATCTTAAAACTGGTTAAGTTTATTAGGAATTAAATAGTTATTCTGGGGAAGAAGTTGTTGGCAGAATTCAGCTGTTTAGCTATTAGGGACATGGAAAAATGATTTGATATTTCACTCTGAGCTGCTTTCTAATTTATTGTTTTTATTCATATGATCTGTGTGCTTTTGTTGTGATATGGATAGACAAATTACAAATATAGATCTGCAGATGTTGACACATGAAGATGCATGAAAATTGAGTGTCTTTGTGTATTAGAGGAGAGATTCTGGTTATTTTATATTTATGAAAATACATTAATGTTGTTAGTGCCAGGGAGTTGTTATGCTTTTGCTAAGGTGTTCTGAGTGTTTTTTAAGCATATTGCTATGGAGTTGTTAGGGTGTTCTGGGTAATTGCTAACTCTAAAATCTCTGAATTTGTTGTCCACCAGGCGAAAATAAGTTGGATCACTTACGAAAAGTAATAAAACCACCTTCCTTGATTTGAGGTTTCTGTAGCACAGACAGTGCTGGACTAGTTATGTGTTGAAGTTTAATGCTTACACTGTGTCTACACCGGACGCGAGCGGCACGGCGCGACAAAATACTGTAGAATCCATTAAAATCATTGATGCTGTCTACACTGGATGTGGTGCGGCGCGACATGCCAAATAAGAGTTAATTTAAACAAACTCTTAAAGGTGCAATAGGTGATTGTCTAAAGAAAATGTTTTTGTTATGCTGGTTGAAAGTCTCTTCTCATCCCGATAGCAATTATTAAGTTAAGTGGTCTAAATGTATTTATCTGTATTTATATATTCTGTGGAAGACGTATGAACCAAGAAATGTTCGTCCAATCAAAACTTTCGGTCCGAACGTTTTAATTGGCTTTCCTAACTGCCTGTCGACGTATGTATTAGCATACCTCTGCGCACCCTGTTTGCGCAGACAGGATACGTCATCAGCGCGTTCACGCACACTGTGCAGACAGAGCAAGAATGACAGACAAACATCAACAACCCGATCTTCCTTCCTGGTATTGTAGTACTTTTACTAACTGTACTATAAAGTTTTCTCACCGGTGAATGACACATGATGTAGCCCAGCGGTTTCCAATTCCAGTCCTCGCGGCAACCCGCTCTGCATATTTTGCATGTCTTGCTTAGTTAACACACCCGATTTAGATAACCAGCTCGTTAGAAGTGAGCTACGTGCATGAACTGTGTTCCGATCGATATGATCCCTACACAGTGTTCATTGCTCCCTACTCCCTGAGCAGGGGGAATTCACAGATTTGCACTGTGCAGCGTCTTCACACACAGACGAAACTTACTAGAGAAGTGTGAAGTGTGACATAATATACCTCTGTAAATAAATGCTATTTAAATTTTACGTCTCGCACACTTTAATGCCCTTTGTATGGAATATATACGCTCACTTCGAACTGGAATCATGGCGGAATATCCGGTGATGTCCACTTCGCAGGGCACTTGCGGTCGAATAGAGCAAACGTCGCACGTGATAAGAGATACTGGAATTGGGAACCGCTGATGTAGCCTATTGTAGTAATGTTGTCTCTGGTACTCTGATCTGTCAGCGTATATGCGTTCAGGGGGCATGGCTTTGGACGGCGATTGCAGAGAGGGACGTTCGCTTTCAGTGCTATCAGGCTAAAGTTAGCATTTTGCAAGATCTCCTACTAGGGTGTGCAGCCGTAGTAGGAGATCTTGCAAAATGCTAACTTTAATGCTAATGACCGATAAATCGAAATGGAATCATAATCGCGATTCGACAGAAGCTGCGATTGTCATGCGTATCTTTCAGTGAAGCACGGTTCTGTGATCAGCAGTAAATCTCCATCCAAAGGCCAGAGGGCGCTCTCGCGCTGAAACTCCGAATACGCCTCGCAGAAGAAACCCAGGAAATGCCTATAGCGGTAGCTGGATAAACAGAAGATTTAACTGCTTTTATTGATTCAACGTGACTAATAAACACACGATTTTGACAATATATGGTTTATCTGAGTTATTATTATTATAATTTTCTTTAAAATAAAGTATATTTATGATGCAATGCTTTTATCACTGCTTAGAATGCTATGAAATATGTTGCTTGCCTTATTCTGTGTAAGAAGCCACATCATCTCACAGAAGGATTTATTTCCTACTGCACCTTTAACACTGAGTTCAAGCAACAGCAAAAGTGATGCTTGCATTAATCATTTTCTGTCATCCTGTTTGCATCAGTCTTCATATCCAAAGCCTCTTGATGCCTAACATTGCTGTTTCGATAAGCAGCCCACTTAGTTTTAGAACAGAGCCATTCTGACAAACTTTCTGGCATAAAATTTGGGCTGAATAGGAAATGCTGCTATTGATTCCTGCACGATATTGCATTCTAAATGCATTTTTCCTTTTCTTCCTGAAAGTGTTTTCCTTCCATTTAGTCTGAAAAACCATTCTTGGAAACCCATTTTTCACACTGACCGGGCCCATTATGCAGTCAAGCGGCTTTTGTCTCTGTTATAATAATCTTTATCATCCTTTGGAAACATTCCACTGTGATGAGGTCTCACCGTTAGTAGCGCATGCTAATCAACTTTAATACAAAGCCAGTGTGAGGGAGTCACAGCATCTTCATTAGACTGTTCTTCACCTCCTATGGAGGTTGATTAGGGTGAAGTTGCCATGGCGATGGAATCAGATTACGGCCCCACCCCTTATCTGATGCCCATTAACCCCCAGCAAGAAACGATGACCCTCTGGCCCTGCCCATGAATATTCAGTGCGGGATGATGAATGACGCTAATGCGTGGAGTTGCTGTAGCCGGGACCCTGGTGGACTCTGGGAGACGGAGAGGTCATGCTGGGAGGACGTGCCACACTGTTTCCTTTAGTCAATTAAACACTTAATCACTCCAGTTCTTCTCTTTGAAATGTAATATTCTATTTTTCTCTTTCTGTTTTGGTATTATGAACTTTCACTCATTTTGGTTATGATGACCTTTGGTGTCTGCTTGTGTGGGTAGATATCTGACAGGGATCCAAAAATGATCATCATTTACTTGCCGTCATGTCAGACCAAATCTGATTATGACTTTCTTTTTCAAGTGAAATACAAAATGAGATAACTAACAATCTGTAAACTGTTTTTCATGCAGTGAACGAACAATCTGTAAACTGTTTTTCATGCAGTGAACGTGGAAAAAAACATTACATAAAAGTCCACAGTAAACAAATATGTTAAAAGACTTAGCTGTTGCCAGAACCTTACTAGAAAAATATTGTAGTGACATTTTAGATTTTATGTTTTAAATCTAACTTTACAGTAATATATATATATATATATATATTTAATTAACTGTTGAAGTTAATATACCATCCTACTGAAGTATTAAAATATGTTTTGTACCTTTTATAATATACTGATAGCAACCATTAAAACACTGGTGGGAATGGGAAAGCCACATGCAGAATCAAAGTTCATTACAAGCTTTTCCACAAGCTGAGGTACAGTAAATATTAAGAAATAGAAGGAGCACAGTGTTGTGCAATACAGAACACCATCATGGAAACAAAAATGACAGTAATATAATGCAGTAAATATTTAATTTAACCACATAAGATGTAACATAAAACCCTAAATATATATATATTTAATTAACTGTTTAAGTTAATATACCATCCTACTGAAGTATTAAAATATGTTTTGTACCTTTTATAATATACTGATAGCAACCATTAAAACACTGGTGGGAATGGGAAAGCCACATGCAGAATCAAAGTTCATTACAAGCTTTTCCACAAGCTGAGGTACAGTAAATATTAAGAAATAGAAGGAGCACAGTGTTGTGCAATACAGAACACCATCATGGAAACAAAAATGACAGTAATATAATGCAGTAAATATTTAATTTAACCACATAAGATGTAACATAAAACCCTAATGTACATTCAATTCAATTCAATTCAAGTTTATTTGTACAGCGCTTTTCACGATACAAATCATTGCAAAGCAACTTTA